CTGTGTTTCTAATTTGTAAATGGGTTCTTGTTGTGTTAAATGTATAATGTGTTGTGTTATGTCTTGTACCTGCCGGCAAATCAAATTTCCCGTCTGGCACAATAAAGGGAGTAAGTAAGATTCCTGTGTGGTAGCTGCAGAAAAGTTGTGAGAAAATTGTCCTATTTCAGAGTGCTTGATAGGAAGTGGTCGTTTTTATCAAAACACTGCACAGACATGTCCAAACCACTGTTGTCCTCTGATGCCCAATTGCACAACTTGCATAATGGGATTAGTATTAGGTTTATTCCATGCCTTTTCGGTCATGGAGCCTTCTTCAGGTGTGAGCCTGAACTAATGGGATTAGTGTCATAACGGTGTTCAGAGAACTGTTACAGTTAGGTTCTGTAAGAGTGTCTTAATGGTTAAAAGACTAATTTGTACTGTACATTTGTTATCGATAGCAAACAGCGGTTTTCATCTCTTTTTGAAAATATTTTGGGCACCAGTTTATCCATGAAATATAAGACACATCCATCCATTTTCTACTTTATCCAATTCAGGGTCATAGGGGAGCTGGGGCCTATCCTGGCATGTAATGGGCACAAGGTGGGATTTATCCTGGATGGTGTAGGGAAAACCGGTTCAGGGACGCCAAATATGTAATCATAGTGGCTCTCTGAAGGCACCAGTTCTGTAGGGTTTGGGCATTTACTGAGACAATTATTAATTGTAGCAGTAAATCACAAAGTTGATTCTTTTGATGGCTTTAGAATCCAACCATGCGACATAACTCAAACAACGCGCACACACAGGTACTAATACATGAGTATACATTTATTAATACATAGAATATGCATATAAAACTAACAGATCTTATCGAGAGGGTTATCAGAATACAAAAGATATATATTCAATCAGTTACAAAGTGTTACACATATCAAGAGGACATACGTTCAGTATATCAATTATTAAGACCGTTTCGTAAAGTGAACTTGGTTACAACTTCTACATTAGATACTCAAACAAGTACATAACTCTTAGGAATTAAATTGATATCAACTGGTTGGGATAACAATTGAATTCTCGAGCTGTAATGCATTGAAGTTGAATACTCATCCAGTCTTTGGGGATTCAGATCTCCTGCGGGCACAAAGAAAGAGTTGCAGGCTGTTGCTGTCCAATCCGCGCTCTCTGGCTCCGTGCCAGGCTGTGCTGTGCGGCTTGTGACGGTGCGCTGCTGATGCTCACTGTTGGCTTTAACTAGCAAAGTTTGTGCACAGGAGAAAAGATGACTGTGGGTCCCAGCAAGTCAGGAAGAGGACCGGTTCGTTCCTGATGAAGAGCTAGTTCTGAATAGTAATTCAGCTGTCCACAGTTCCGACCTGTTCACGAGGCCTGCTGCTGGTTACTCTCTGGCAACCTCCACTCTAGACTCTTAGAACAAAGGAAAGTTCTGGCACTCGGACACACTGGCCGTTCCGTGGTTGTCCGGGCTGAGTGTCAGGATGGTCAGGAGGCGCGCTGCGAGAATGTCCTGCCCTTGGGAGCCTTCTGCTCCTGGGCCGTCCTGCCCTGGAATTCTCCTTTGAATTCCCTTTAGAATTGTACTGAATCTTGTTGAATCTGAATCTGAATCTGAATCTGAATCTCTCAGGCTCTCTGTGTTGCCTGTTTTTACCTGGAGGAACTTCAGCTCATTGATTGGCTGAAAGTTCCATGGGCATCAGAGTCCCACGTGGGTTACTCGGCCCTACCGGACCCTGATTGGTTGATCAAGGTGAGATATGAGTCACTTACTCCTGACACTTAGTAATGCAGTCCAGATGTCCAACTGGCACTCCCTAGACAGATAGGCGCCAATGGATAACCATTCATCATGATAGCCAGGCTTAGCTAAGTGCATCCCCCTTTGGGAGCTGTCCTTATCAAAAGAAAACATCTTGCATGAATGGTTTCTCTGTGGCTGCACCACAGAGATGAACAGAGAAATGGGGCCTCATTTGGGAAGCTCAGAAACACTTAGTTCTGCCTTATTATTAAGCCTCGCCGCTACAATGGGATGCCAGTCTATTGGAGGGCACGGATGAACACGGAAGTGTACACACTCACACGAGGGCCAATTTCTTCAGAAGCCAATGAATGTACAAGTACTGTATGTCTTTGGAGTGTGAGAGGAAATTGGAGCACCAGGAGAACATCCATGCAAAAATGGGAAGAGCATGCAAACTCCATGCAGATACCACTGCAGGTCCAGAACTGAGCCCAGGGCTCAGTGCTGCAAGACAGCAATGCCAGCCACTGAGCCACTTTGCTTCCCTTGAGGTGACACACATGTGAAGAAATGATTGCGGTTGCTATAGATGCCACTCCCCCACCCCTAACTCACCCAGCTACTGTTCCTGCCATGAAGGATAACTAGCACTTATTATACAGAGATCTGTCAGCTTGCACATTTATTGCTTCACACTCTCCAGCTGGCGTTAATGAAGTGAAGACTTTAAATAAAGTCAGGATGAAAAAGAAATAATTATAGTATATCAGGGGGAGAAGCCAAACATGAATAAAAGAATTCTTAAAATAACTTGTATTAAAAGCCCCTCTAGCTAACCCGACCGCTTAATAAGAACAATCCACCCGTATTGTTTTATCAGCTACAAAGGAACATGCTGTCATGTAGAAGTTATGCCTTTATTTCCACAAACTGGGCCAAACTTAACTCAAAAAATGTCATCCCTGTTAGAGTGCCTTTCGGTGCTGATTCCTTTTCAGACTACTGGGGAAGCTTTTACTCAAACCTCTTAAAAAGCACCTGTTAAGAAAGACGAAGGAGTCGGCCCTGTAGAAAGATTCAAGGCTGCGGATGTCTCTTCTCGCTTATAAATACATCGCTGTTGGAGAAGGTTGTGAGTCTTTACATTGAGGTCAGTGACAGGAAGGAGAGGTAAGGGGATTCTTACAGAGTTGGACATCAGGCTCCAGGATGTCATTGTCACTTGCTCATGTACCATCATGATATCATCAGGTACAGTATACGAAATTCAAAACATTAAATTGCATCTTTAAATTATTTTACTTTTCGGTACCATTGTTAAAAAGTTAAAACCTTAATTACAAGGAGACCTGATCTTAGTATTCATAGTCTTTAAAGGGATTAACAAAGAAGATTTCTTCAGCATGAATACTGAATGACAATCCATCAAGTTGAGCAGAACAAGCATTTCAAACTGAGAATGGGAAAATCTTTATTCAAAGGGTTGTAAGAACATGAAACAAACTACCCAGCCATGTTGTTGAGGTTAAAATCTTGACTTCCTTAAAGTAGCTGGAAGAAACCTTTGGATCAATAAGCTGCTAAAAAATCAGATAGGCTTACAGCTCCCTTTTCTTCCATATAATTCTTCCATTCTTGCAAGTTTATATTCTTACTATCTTTTGAATAGTAATATATAACCCTGATCTGCACTGTGCCTCCAGATCAAGTACGATCTGAACAGCTGTTCCTGGGCTGATCAGTCACAGGGGGCATGAACAGTTGATCATGGAAGGTGATATACTGTACAGTACTATAACAACAACAACAACAACAACAATAAAATAATATGTATTATTATTATTAATGATAATAATATTATACAATACAATTTTATATACATGTATATAAATAAAGTATTTGTAATAATTTAAAATAATTTTTACACTTACATTGCACATTTCTGGACACTCCAGTCAATGGGGACTACCCTCCACCACCACCAATGTGTAGCCCCCACCTGGATGACACAACGACAGCCAAAGTGCACCAGTACACGCACCACACACCAGGGGAGAACAGAGTGATGAAGCCAAATCATAAATGGGGATTATTAGGAGACCATGATTGGTAAAGGCCAGGAGTAGTTTTGGCCAGGACACCAGGGTTAATATCCCTACCGCTTTCAAGAAACACCCTGGGAATTCTAATGACCACAGAGAGTCAGGATCACGGTTTTACATCACTATACTGGGGTACAAACAGACCTCAGGGTGACCCCTATTGGTCCCACATAAAACCTCTTAACACAGCAGCAGCCTTAGCTTTCCCAGGATGTCACCAATCCAGGTATTTTCTAGACTCACACCTGCTTACATTCAGTGGGCTGCTAGTTGTTACTGTTCTTTAACAACAAGTGATAAAAAGAAGTCTTGAGCTTTTCTGTAGCCTAATAGCCACCCTTACCTGCCATAATTACAGCTGTGGCTTATGATGGATGAAAGTTGTGTATAATATTAAAAACAACCATCAGTGTAGTCACCATTACAGGTAAGGTCCAGTATGTTACTAATTATTAAGATTAAGATCACTTTGTCTATAAACAATTTCTTGTATCAGGATTTGTCTTTTCACATACCCCAACACAGACAGGGAGAGAAGCCTGGGGGCAGTGTACTAGGTCAGCCATTTATATGGTGCTCCTGGAGGGGCCCAGCAGAGTAAGATTCCTCTGCCAGCTGCAGGATTTGAACTGGCAACCTTCTAGACACAGGCACAGATCCTTAGCCACAGAGCCACCACATCCACAAATACTGAAACATCCCTTCTCACTCTTCCTTCATCAATTTGTAATTAAAGGGTAAGCTATACCCTTTATAAAAATACATCTAATACAAAATATACAATTCCATTCAGTTTAGTAGGAGGAGTGATTTTAGAAAGGAATTTCTAAACTAATTAACCTATCAGACACCTGTTTTATGAACAAAGACCAAAGATGGAAGAGGTTGAGTTTGGTGGATGCTAATTAGGCTTAATCATGACAGAGAACACATGTTATTTTAATCATTAATATAAAGGTTCAGCAGATTAACTGCTTTGGACAAACACCCCAGAGACCTTGCAGCCATTAAACATCCATTATCCAAATGTGAACGATTTTGCTGGATGTTAGGACTGATTGAATGAGAGCCTTGATATGTCAATTTTCCTCAAACCTCAGGTGATAGAAATTAGTCTGTTTACGGCAGCTGTGGTGGCTGTTCTGATCAGCTTGCATATTCTCTGTTTGTGGTATTTTGGCAGGATTGTTTTATCCTAAAAAGAGGTTAAAATAGACTTCTTGATATAAGACAAGGTTCAGAATAAAACACTATCACAGCAAGGCTGCTGGAGAGCCTTTCCACATCTCTCTTTCTCTCTGATTTTGCTGATTCATGCTGTAGAGTGCTGTGTCTTATGAACACAAATCAATATTCCAAAGATTTTGGAAAGGATTCATAAGCATGAAACCTAAGAAGGAGAACTTGCTTCTTTTTCTCGTCGAATATCATCATTTTCAGTGAAGGTCATCGCACAGGTGTGCTTGTTTTATTGTTTGCTGTTTGTGCCACATGGATAAATAACACTCTGAAGTGGAAAAAAAACATCTTGACAACCTACAAGTCACAATTTCATACTTGAAGAGGTCCAGATTTTGTCCTCTGGGAGAACAGAGCAATTGACCACACGGTAAGTTTGTTTTTCCATTTTCTTTTAAAAAAAAAAAAACAGGCTTCACTGAGTACACTTTGATATCAAGGTGATTAGAGACAAAGAAACATCAGAATCTGGATTTTAATCTGGATTTGATCAGAAATCTTTTTTTTTTTTCTGCAGTTACCACTACCCTTGCCATTGGTTACCAATGCTCTCTGGTATACAGTCAATTTCAATTTGTCCATCCAAACAGCTGACAATACTTGCTCCAAACTCAGATTGGGCCTTATTTTGGAAATGACTGCCCATCAACCTTCAGAATTCAGCACCTGCTGTACAACATGTAGCCTGCAGACAGATGCATCTTCCTCATTTCAGCGTTTCATACTGTACCTGTTCTTGTCCATCTCTCTGCTCACTTTCTGTTGCTTGCTAAGATGGAACGTGTTTGGATAAACTTCAACAGATGCCGAAATAGAGGTTTGGATGAAGAGCTCAACGTTTTGTTTGACTCTCTTTCTGTTTTTCTGTGTAAAATGAACCTCTACCTGTTTCAATGTGAAAACAAATTTCGGAAGGCTGAGGGTTGTCAGTTCTACCTTGAAATGATACAACAATGGGGGTCCTAGCTTAAAAACTGTAAGATTGCAGTTTCTATTTGGATGCATTCTTGAGAGCTTTATTTCAGTTTTGATGTCATCTGCAGATTGAGCATATAAATGCTGGTGGCAGCCCACTCTCTGGTTTAATGCATCTCGAGAGACTTGCATTTGGCCGTGCCAGGTTACTGCTCCCAATTTTTGGTGAGGGGCCCTGAAAAAGTAAAGCAAGCCAAAAAAGCTTTTAACAAAGGAGTTCTGGCAAGAAAGCTCTAGCTATTATGTTCCTTATCAAAACCGAACACCTACAAATGCAGGGTTGCTTCTTTCAGAAACATTGCATCTTTCTAAGACCACATTTGCAGAAGCAATAAAGATAGAAATGCTGGCTATGGTTTCTTTAATACTCATTTGAATTGCTTGCCAGCAGTTTCGATAACCTAATGTGGAACATTATTCTTGAAGAGCCTAGCTTTGGGAAAGTTGTTGTTAACTACTGTGCATAAGTATTGTGTTGTCAGATATTTAGAAAGACTGATTTAAATTCTTTGTTGAAGTTTAGCTTTCCTCATTATTGCTAAGGGTTGCCTGCCAAATATTGGAAGCCATCAACAGAGTTTGCTTTGTAATTCACAGACGTTATGCACAACAGGGTGTCTTAAGAGTGAAACGATAGGACTCCAAACTCGCAACAGGCTTTGCAAGTCCACCTCTTGCAGATAAAGCAGAAAGGCAACGTGTCTTGTGGAGAAATATCCCACGTGTGGGGCTGTCTTCTAACTCAGAAAATTCGAAGTAGATGTACAGTGGAAGCTGTAGCTGCTCTGTGTTAATTCAGTACTTGTAGGTCAGCCTACGCTGGAAATACTGTAACAAGTTATTTAAGTACAGGCCTCCCATAGGGAAGTGTTGTGTAACATCCATTAAAATGACTTCTGGACTGCTAATCATGAGTTTGCTAGGAAACTGAACAAATAGGTCCATGAGCACCCAGAGTCCAGATGCCACTTCAGGGCTGACACAATCAGGCTACCGCTGATACATCCTCTAGCTAGAATCGAAAGGCTTTTTCTTCAAGAGGCCGGTTTCTGTCATTATAATTAAGGCAGCTGCACATCTCCTTCTGCATGCCCATCTTGCATGTGTACATTCCGTTCTCGGAGTGCCTCTTCGTTCTTACTCTAATTGATGATTCTGAAGTGCTTGCTTCCCAAATGTAGGGCATTTCAAAAGCAAGGCTTCAGCGTTACGGCAGTACCCGAGTGTGCTTGCCTGATCAAGCCACTGCTGTTTGAAATGGATGCCTCTTCAGATCACTCGCTTGTATCGCGTTGGAGTACATCCTGAGGAAGTCGAATGTGTTGCTCTTTAATGGAGTAAAGAAACCTGCATTGTTCCTAGATGTTTCTGCAAATGCTTTTCATACTGTATTCCTCTCAGGGTCGAAGTATGAAGTAGTCCTCAACTCCCCCTATTTTAAAAAAAAAAACAAAAGAAAAAAGTAAGTTGAGCTTGTTGGGAACTACTGTTAATGTTCAACTTTTGTTTTTTCACAATTTTAGTAGGAAATTACATCCCACACTGTTCCATGTAAGGCTTTTTTTACATAAAATGCTACTATGTGTAAGGCACAATACAAAATATAATTATATTTGTGCTTCAATTGCAGTTTATAAGAGGATAGGGTGAAAAATGTAAATCGGATTTTATAAAGTAATGCATCTTGAAAACAAAACAATGTTGCCACTACTAGATTACATTATAAACAGATATATGAAATAATAACAAAGAAGAATGTCTATATTACAGAGCAACATCATAATAATGAAGACGGGCATGGCTGCAATTGAAATATGGCAAGTTGTAAGCTCTCAGGTCACAGAAATTGCATTAAGTGCAAAGAATAAATATTAGAAATGCTACCCATCTCAGTTCAGCCTTAAGCAAGACTGTTTTGTGTTTCACTATTGAAACTAACAAGTAACCATGAAATTACTTTAAACACTGTTCTCTATATCGCATCATGAGCAACTGCATTGCGAAAATAAACACTGACATCTCATTGGGTTCTCTGTCCTTATAATGAAAATCTTGTATTTGAACTCATTTGAACAGTGCACTAATGCTTGCCAAAGGCAGTGAATAAGTGTTTATAACTTTTGGTGCACTTGACAAGTGGCAAGACTATCATCTGCTTGCTAATTTGACAATTATAATTCTGCATTATTTAACGTTCTGCTAAAGGCATCCTGAGATTGCTCTGGGGGCTGCGGGAATAGAATTATTGCACACCCTCTATAACAAGTTCAAGAATGACAAGCCTAGAGTCCGTCAGAGATGGTAATCTTAATATTGCATGCATACCTTTGCTTTGCCTGTTAAAAACAAACAAGTCAGCTCTTCAAATATGTATAATTACAGTTTTTAACAGGCAAATTAGTCCTTAGTGATCCACTCTATGGCATTTTTTTAAAATGCAGAACTAATGCAGCAATGTCAGACTTGTGTTGTCAGCTTTTTTTCTCATCAAAATGAGGCCTGAATTTAAGCTTTAAACGGAGAGAAAGGTAGAACTGTGAGAATTTCTGCAATTATGGTAGAAAAAAAAAGGTTTTGCTATTTTTAAAATTGCCTAAGAAACTAGCAACAGAAACTTTTGATATGTAATTTACCTTGTTTGGAAATAAGTGGGTATTTACTGATGGTAAATTTATGCTCCTAAAATGAAATATACAGGAAATGTTTTGTGTGACTATGGCACAAGAGTAAGATTATTTTACAATTATATCTTACAGTAATACTGGCTTCAAATTTTTGTTAGTGTAATATCGTTTACTAATCAAATTGACCCAATTTTCACTTTTATACCACATTGACCAATCATGGTATGTATTGCCTGTTCCAGATTCTTCAACACTTTGGAAGAGCAATCATATTTTTTCCTTGAAATGATGAAGGGATATTCTTAATGCACTGCAGTGTGGGTGTTATGATATAAATTAAATTAAATGCATATGGGATATGTCTGTTCTCTTCTGCCTGTGAATTAGTCTAATGGGCTGCAGTCTATGCAGTGGAAGGTGCACGTCAATTTTATGCAATGCATATTCATTGCCGTGTACTGTCTCTGATTTAGTGCTAAGCAAAGGACATTGAATTTCTTTTTTCTATTAAAACCAGAGGCCCCAAGTCATCCCATCGTGATGCAGACAGCAGCAAAAAAATGAATTCTTGTAGGATCTAAATAGGTCCCTATCTTAATTACACCGGGCGAGTTTATTTTCAGAATGGATTTTTCTAACACATCACGCCTCCTGTGTAGTTTTTCTGTTTTCTATTACGTGTTTATTAAGATCCTCCATTAACTATCCCCTCCATCCACTCATTTTCTAACTGCTTTATCCAGTTCAGACTCATGGGGGAACAGGAGCCCACTCCGACAAGCAGCAGGTACAAGACAGGTCATAACCTGGACAGGGCACCAATCCGTCACAGGGCTGACACTGGTCTGGGCCAATTTTTCCAGAAGCCAAATATCCTACCAGAATGTTTTTGGACTGTGGAAGGAAACCCACCCGAACACAGGGAGAACGCCCCAGATCTGAAAACGAACCCAGGGCCCAGAGAGCTGCAAGACAGCAATGCTAACCACTACATCTCCATGCCACCCTCAAATAATTGTCTGTTAGTGCTGGGGTCTCTGTTTGCCTAAAGAATCAAAGGAATACATCTGCTGTTGGAAAGATCCATATTCCCAGTAATCGGAACAACTTGGAGCAGATTCAGAGATACAAGGTGCAAGGCAAGAGCCACACAAGTGTCAGAGGAGCACACTAACTTAGCCAGCATGTTCAGGGGGTTTTTGGAAGGTGGGTTTTGAACAGGTGCTCAGTTTTCTTCCATGCAAGCAAGCGAGAGAACATGCAAAGCCACCACAGGCTGAAAAACAACCCAAGAGCTCCAAGGCAACAGTGCTTACTGCTGCCTAACTGTGAGTCTCCAAGGGAATGCAAAAGATTCAGAATTATGCATCATATAGAATTGCTGAAGTCAACCAGGAATAACGAAGAGAAAGATGCACAGTGAAAAATGACTGATTTGTTGATTGTAAGCAATGGTTCATCTAATAACATTTCTTAGATCTGCCATTTAATCCCAAAAACAGACTCCTTTTTTAAAAAAAAAGAATGATGGTTTAGGGCATATTGTGATGGGTAGAGTCGATGACAGTTGTGTACTGTATATCTATGCTTTTGCCCCTGTGTCTTATGTCCCAAATTAGCACTTTCTGGAGATGTAATTGTATCACTCAGCATTCAGAGATCGCTCGAGAAACAACTTTGAAGCTAAAGTGATTCAACAAAGGAAATGTGATCCAAAGCCAGTGTGGTCTGTGAACGCCTCTCTCCTGAATGTCCTGTGTCTTTGTTTTAC